GTGGGAGGTGGTTTGGTGTTGGTGGTTGGTGGGTTGGTGTGTGTGTGGGGTTTTGTTGTTGTTTTGTTTGTGTTTTGTGTTTTTGTGGGTTTGTGGTTGAGTTGCGTGGTGCTTGTGGGGGGGTTTTGGGGTTCGTTTGTGTTGGGGGTTGATGTTGGTGCGGTGTTGGGGTTGGTCGCGGCGCGGGCGTCTTGGGTGGTGCTTGATGTGGTTGTGGTGGGTGTGGGTCGGTTGTTTTTTTTTGTGGTGGGGTGTTGTGTGCTGGTTGCGGTTGTGGTTTGTTCATGTTTAGTGGCTTTTTTGGGGGTGTGGTTGGGGTGTGGGGTTTGTGAGTTTTTTTATTGATATTTATGGGTTTTTTTTTTGTTTCTTTGTTTTTTTTTTTTTTTTTTTTTTGTTTGTGTTTGTGTTTTTGTGTTTGTGTTTGTTTTTGTTTGTGTGTGTGTGTGTGTGTGTGTGGTTGTGTGTGTGTGTGTGTTGTGTGTTGTGTTTTTTTTTGTTTTTTGTTGTTTTTTGTGTTGTTGTTTGTGTGTGTGTGTGTTGTGTGTGTAGTGTGTTGGTGGGTTGTGGTGGGGGTTGGGTTGTGGGGTTCGGGTGGTTTGTTTATTGTTTTTGTGGTGTTGTGGGTGTTGGTGTGTTGGGTTTTGTGGTTTGGTGGTGGCTGTGTTTCTTCGCTGGGTGTGTGTCTGTGTATTTTTGTGTTTGTGTGTGTTTGTGTGTGTCTCTGTGTGTGTTTTGAGTCTCTGTGTCTGTGTGTGTGTGTGTGTGTGTGTGTGTGTGTGTGTGTGTGTGTGTGTGTGTTTTTTTGTATTTTTTTTTTTTTTTTTTTTTTTTTTTTTTTTTTTTTTTTTTTTTGTTTTTGTGTGTGTGTGTGTGTGTGTGTGTGTGGTGTGTGTGTGTTTGTGTGTGTTTTTTGTTGTTCTTTTGGGTTTTTTGGGGTTGTTGGTGGTGTTGTTTTGGAGGTTGTGTGGTGGGTTGTGTGTTTTTTTGGGCTGGTTTGCTGTCTGTTTGTTTATGGGTGTTTTGTTTGGTGTTTGTTTTTTTGTTGGTTCGGGTGTGTTGGTTGGTGATGCTTTAGCATTGGTGTGTTGGGGTTTTGGCGGGGCTGGTCGTTTAGTGTTTCGGTGGTTGTTTGGTTGTGTGTTGTGGTTAGGTTGGGGTTTTGTGGTTTTTTTTTTTTGTTGGGGCGGTGTTGTGTTGTCTTGTTGTGGTGGGGTTTTGGTGCTGTGTTGGTTTGGTTTTTCTGTGGTGGTTGTTTGTTGGGTTTATCTGTTTCTTTTGGGTGTGGGGGTTTGGGTTGGTGCTGGTCGGGGGGTGTTTGTGTGTGGGCTGGCGTGTTTTTGGTTTATTTGGGCTGTTGTGCTGTGTTGTTTTTGTGTGGTTGGTCGTGTGGTTGTTGTGGTTGGTCAATTTGGGATGGTTATTGCTGTGGTTGGTGGTTTGTGGGGTCGTTGGTTGGTTTTGGGTTGGTGTGGGTGTTGTGGTGTTGGTTTTGTTTTTGGGTTTGTGTGTGTGTTTTGGGTATGTTTGGGGGGGGTGGGTGGGGCTGTTGGTGGTGGTTGGGCTGTGTTTTTTTGTTTTTGTTTGGGTCGGTTGTGCGTTAGTTGTGGTGCGTTTGGGTATTGGGGGGAGGTTGTGGGGGTTGCGTTGGTGTGTGGTGGTGGTGGGTGACTGGGGTGGAGTTTGTGTTGGGTGGTTTTGTGTTTGTGGTTTGGCTTCTGGGTTGGATGTTGGGGTGTTTGGGGGGGTTTTTCTGGGCGTTGAGTTTGGGGTGTGTTTTGTTGGTTTTTGTGTGGTGCTGGGTTGGGGTGCGGTGTTGTGGTTGTGGCGTGTTTTTTGGGTTGTTTTTTTTTGGGTTGTTGGTGGGGTGGCGGTGTGTTTTGGCGTTGTTGCTGTTGGGGGGGTTTGGCTTGTGTTTTTTTTTGTTGTGTTTGTGTTTTGGGGGGGGGGTGTTTTGGTTTTTGTTTGTGTGGGGGTGTTTTGGGAGTTTGGGTGGTGGGGGTTGTGGGGGGGGTGTGTAGGGTGGGGTGTGAGTGGGTGGGGTGTTGGGTGTGGTTGAGGGTGGGGTTTGGTTTTGGGGTGTTTGTTTGTTGATGTGGGTGGTGGTGTGGGGGTGAGGTGTGTGATTGCGTGTGACTGTTGGTGGTTGCGGTTGTTTTTTGGTGGGTTCTTGTGGGTTTTTTGGGAGGTGTGGTGGTTTGGTTGGTTGGTGGTGGGGTGGGGGTGGGGGGTTGTGGTGTGGGGTGGGTGGGGTGGTTGTGGTTTTGTTTTGGTGGTTGTTGTGGTGGGGTTTTGGGGTGTTGTGGTGGTGGGTGTGTTTGGTTGTTTTGCGTGTGGGTGGGGTGGTTTGGTGTGGGGGGGGGGTGGGGGGGGTGTGGGTTGGTGGTCAGCGTTTTTTTTGTGTTTGGTGGTTGTGGTGTTTGGGTTTTATCTGGGGTTGTGGGTGGTTGGGGTTGTTGGGGGTGGTGGTTGGGTGGGTTTGGGGTGTGTGGTGGTGTGGGTGTTGTGGGTGTTGTGTTGGTTGTGTGGGTGGTGGTTTGGTGGGGGGGTCTGTTGTGGTGTGGGGTTGTGTTTTGTGTGTTGGTGTTGTGGTTTTTTGGTTTTTGGTTGGGGGGGTGTGTGGTGGGTTGGGGGGGGTGTTGGTTGCGGTGGGGGGGTTTGGGGGGGTTTTTTTGGTTTGTTTGTTTTTGTTTGTTGGGTTGTGTGGGGGTTGGTGTGTTTTTGTGTGGGGTGGGGTGTTGGGTGGTTTGGCGGTGTGGTTTGGTGGGGGGGGTGGGGTGGTTGTCGTGTTTGGGTTGGGTGTGTGGGGGTGGGTGGGTTTGGTGTTTTGGGGGTGTGGTGTGTGGTTGTTTGTTGTGTGTGGTGTGTTGTTTTGGGGTGGTTGGTTGTTTTTGTTTTGGGGTGGGGTGTGTTGGTGTGGGGGTGTGGTGGTGTGGGGTTGTTTGTGGTGTTGTTTTTGTGTTGTTTTTTGGTGTTTTGTTTTTTTTTGTGGTTGTTGTTGGTGGGGGTGTTTTGGTTTTTTTTTTGGTTGTTTTTGGCAATTTGGTCCGGTGTGGGGTGTTGTGGGTTGGTGGTGTTTTTGTTGTTTTTTGTGGGGTGGGGTGTGGTGTGGCATGGGTTTGTATTTGGTGGGTGTTGGGTGGTTGTTTTTTGTTTGTGTTTTTTTTTTGTTTGTGGTGTGGTTTTTTGTTCAGGTGTAGTTGGTGTTGTTGGTGTTGTTGTTGTGGTTTTTGTTGGGGCTTCTGTGTCGTTTTGGTTTTGGTTTTTTTTTTTTTGGTGGGCTGTGTTTTGTTGTTTGTTGGTGTGGTCTTGTTTTGGTTTGTTGGTTTGGGTGGGTTTTTTTTGTTTTGGGTTTTTGTTGTGTTGTTTGTTGTTTTGTGGGTTTTTTGGTGGTGGGTGGTTTTTTTGGTTGGTGTTTTGGTTTTTGGTGTTGGTTGATGTTTGTGTTTTTGTGGTGGTGTGTGTTGTTCTTGATTTTTTGTGTTCTTGGTGTTTTTGTGTTTTGTGTTTTTGTGTTCTTGGTGTTTTTGTGTTCTTGATGTTTTTTGTGTTCTTGGTGTTGTTTTTTTTTTTTGTGTTTTGTGTGTTTTTTTTGTTGTTTTTGTGTGTTGGTTGTGTTCTTGTGTTTTTTGTGTGTTGGTGTTTTTATTTTTTTTTTTTTGTTTTTTTTTATTTTTTTTTTGTTTTTGTTGTTTTGTTTTTTTGTGTTTGTGTTGTGTGTTTGTGTTTGTGTGTTGTGTTTTGTTTGTGTTTGTGTGTGTGTTTTGTGTGTTGTGTGTGTGTGTGTGTTTTT